ACATCTTTTAATAAAATATTGACAAATCACCAACGTCACGCCTCTGGCGAGTTGCCTTATATCATAAAATCTTATATTTTCGTGTAAACATTAATAAAAGGATACAATTCACCCCGTAACACTAGACATTTTGATTTTGAATAAAAATTATATCTCAATAACTATCTTATCAAATTGAGCCAAATTTTTTTTACTAATATAAAAATACCCTAGCCTTTAACATAGTAATTTTTAATTATTAAAATTGCTGCTCTATTAATTTTTAATTGATATTTTTGCTATTTTTTTTTTCTAAAAAAATAAAATATTCAAAAATACAGATCTCATCTAAAATCTGTTGCAGTAATTATAAAAATTTTATAAATACTATATATATATTTAATTTGAAATTTTCAAAGCTATAGCTTTTAAAATTAAAAGTTAGAGGGGAGTAACTTTCTTTTGACTGGTACTGTATTTAATTAAAAACACAAAAAATGGTTTAACAAAAAAATAAAAAACGTTTTTAGCCATCCCTAATCTAGTGGCGAAATTTAAGGATTTCGGTACCATTTGAACCGCCTCGACGAGACGGTTCGAATGATATCAAAGGAGTTAAATTTTATGAAATTTCCGAAGACCCACATCGGTCATTAAATTTTATAATTTCCATAAAAGGTTTGTAACAGTTACAATGACGATATGTGTGTTCAAAAAAGTTGTAACTTTCATGGCTCGTACGTAAGATAAAGAACTCCCAAGCCACATGTCCGTAGAAAATTTTCGTCACAATTGGATGTCATAGAATCTTATCTGTCTTATCGTGGCATTGTTTAAATTTTGAATTCTGTACACAATCTGATTAAAGCACTCTATTGTCAAACATCTCTTTGAATAGAGCTGAAACGTTCTATTATGCATTTGTTTAAATAAAAAAAAAAAAAATTGCTTGTGATCCTGCTTGATGTGGTTTTTGTGTGACTTATATCATGTGAATGGCGGATTCCACCGATTACTATAATTGCTTGACGTTTCTGTTGTCGCGGACCATCAACTTTAAAAATTTCGATAATTTCAATACAAACATGAGTGATGGCCGGCATTCAACTTCATCACTTCAGTCTTCAGGTACGGAACTTGTTAGTTTAAGAGAGTGTCGTATTTGCTAGTAAAGTAGGCTAATTAACCGACTTTTTCGCGTTGAATTACTGCCAAGCAGGTGTTACCTCGGCTGAAGAGTTGTCTGAAAAATACCAAAAATTATTCGCCGAATTTTCTAAGTAAATTATAGATTTTTCGTATTAATTTTCGTTTGATTTTTATCTTACTTTCGTTTGGATTATTAGGATGAAAGCACAGCATTCTGTATTAAAGAAGGCTGTTATTAAGGTTTAATTTTATTGGATTCAAATTAAGAAAATTCATAGAATTTTATGACAAAGGCAATAGAATGACACTTAATTATTTTTAATAGGAACAAAAAACCATTAGTTCATTAGAAGATGAATGCAAAACCAAAGAACAAGAATTGCGTACTGTAGGTTTAATCAAGCTGTTGGTTTTTTATGTCAAATTATTGAGAATTCTTTGCAATTAATTCAAAATACATATTATTATTGTGCAGTCACAACAACAGCTCGATCTTTTAACTTTTCACAATCAACGTTTAACCAAACGTATCGAAAGCTTACAGGATTCGACTGCTGCGGTACAACTTTAAGGAATTCAAATATATATATGGTTTTAATAAATATTAAAACTTTCCAATTAAAAATTTTAACACTTCTATTAGAGGTTATCACCTGGTTGGTTGGTGGGTTCAGCTAAGAAAGAACTTGAAAAGTCAAAAGCGACTTTAGAAGCTACCAGCATAGAGCTGAATAGAAAAATTGAAGAAAATGGTATAAATTTATATTTAATACTGTGTGTTATATACATCTAAATTATAATCGATACTTAGAATATGTTAATAACATCAATTGCATTTTTTTCAGAAAAGTTACATAATGAGCTGCTTGAAGTTAACAATTTATATACACAACACGTGGCTTCTCTCCAATCTAAAATATCAGAATTGGAGAAAAAAACTGAGGAGCTTCAGGTATCCATAAGATTCAATCATATTATATTCTGTTAAACTATTAATTCACATAAGTGCTATTTATATAGATCGAATTAACAAGATCTCATCTTGCTAGCGAAGAGGCTTTGAGTATAATACGTCAAGAGAAGCGTGATCTTGATAATGAACTTGACCAAACAAGATCGGAGTTACGGGAGTAAGTTTGCATAAAGACTTTTGTGCTTGGCAATCACGATATTGTTTCTATT